AGGAATGAGCTCAGGGAAAGGACACTGGCTTTGGTGTCAGCCACAGATTGTTTCACATCCAGGTTGGCTTCTTTGTATCAGCAAGAGGTTGGGTGAATCCCTGAGTCAGTTTCCCCCTCTGTAATAGTGGGGAAAATAATGGCCCCATGTTGCAGGGAGCTGTGGGGATTAACTGAGGAAATAAGAGCACAGCTGAAGTGGTCCAGCCCAGAGCCCATCCGTGGTGAACCTCCTAACCCCGAGCTCACTGCCTTGCCTGCCTTCCTCACAAGGTTGGTGAGACGAATAAACAACAATGATAGTAACCCCAAGGGACACTGCACATATCTGTACAGCCTGGCTCTGTCCCACTGACTGAGGCTCTCCTACTTGCCGGGGGCCGTGATCCTTGCTTTAGGGCCAGCAGGCTGTCTGAGCTTCATTTTGCAGGGGAGGGAACAGGCTTAGAGAGAGAAAGAAATCCCTCAGCCAGGAGGTGGCAGGGATGGAACTCAGACACTGATGTGCAGATGTTCCCCAAAGGCTGTAGCCACCTCTTCTGACAGTTGGGAAAGGGCTTTACGAACTTGAGAATACCAGGCCCCTTCATTCATGTATTCATCAAACAGGTACTGACATCCAGCCATAACCATGTCAACCATTTATTGAGCACTTATAGTCCAGGCCTAATGCTAAACTCCTGCCAAATTAGTTTTTTTTTTTTTTTTGCGGTACACGGGCCTCTCACTGTTGTGGCCTCTCCCGCTGCGGAGCACAGGCTCCGGATGCGCAGGCTCAGTGGCCATGGCTCACGGGCCCAGCCGCTCCGCGGCATGTGGGATCTTCCCGGACCGGGGCACGAACCCGTGTCCCCTGCAGCGGCAGGTGGACTCTCAACCACTGCACCACCAGGGAAGCCCCCAAATTGGTTTTTTCAGTGTCTCCAGAACAGACCTTATTCCATTCCCACCTCCACACCTTTGCATTTGCCATTCTCTGTACTTGAAAGCCATCCCAGCTTCCTCTCCTACCAGCTGACCCCAGCAGGCTTCATACCCAGGTTATGGTAATTGCAGCCTATCTTTGAACTCCTATTCATCCATCAATACCCACCTCAGGGGCCTCCACCTGTGTGAACCCTCCCAAGCTGAGCTGATGCTCCTTCCTTCTGGCCAACAGTGCCTTGACTATTTCCCTATTGTAACGATAATCCAAGCTCACAGTAGTGAGTTAACCATGTGCTAGGCACTGTGCTCAGCACTTTATGTGGATGATCTCATTCAGTACTCATCAGGACCCTCTCAGATGGACACTGTTACCATCCCCATTTTATAGATGAGGAAGCTGAGGCAAAGAGAGGTTGGGTGACTGGTGCCATTGGTAAGTGGTGGAACAGGGGTTAGTACTTGGGGCTCTCTGCCTGCCCACCCCAGGCTGTGGGTGGGGACTCATTGAAGACCTTTCCAGCCCCCTCCAGCCCCCTCCTGCCAGCCACCCTCCCAGCCTGGCCATACCACGATGGCGGAAGTGACAGAGAGGATGTTGACCACACGGTATTGCAGAGCCACAGCATCGTGGGGGGCTGCCACGTAGCGCAGCACCGTGCCGTGGAGGAGAGCGGCTGCGATGAAGCTCACATGGCCCAGCACCACCAGCACCAGCCCCGTCTTCATCAGCACCTTCCGGAAGTCACCCACACTCAGGCCACCTGTGAGGGACACAGCCATGTCAGGGCCATGGGTAGGGCTTATCCTGCTGGGCAGAGGAGAAAACTGAGGCCCCTGCAGGAGTGATGGACATTGGGTTCTAAATCTATTTCTGGATGACTCGAGGCCAGTAACTTGTCTTCTCTGTACCTCAGTTTCCTCATCAGGAAAAGGGGTTCACAGTGCTTTCATGAGAGTCCTTGGATCTCTAAGGTTGGAAAAGCATACAGGTGGTACTTAATAAAGGGCAGTAGTCCTTGTTAGTGTTCAAGGTCATGCGTGGCACAGTTAGGATTTGAACCCAGGTCTCTAGCTCTAGACCCATGATCCTTCCACTAAGCTTTGCATCCACTGATTTTTTTCATCCATACATTTGTTACATCAATGTTCACTGAGTGCCTGCTCCATGCCAGGCCCTGAGGTACCACAGAGAGCTTGATGGGCACTGCCCAGGCCCCAAGGAGCCCCTAGTTCACTGGGCAGGGATCAGGTTCTATTTAGGATTCAGTTTGTTGTAAAGGGCCTGGCTCACAGTAGATACTCAACTCACAATTGCTGAACTGACTCCAGCAAAATACTCAAACTTCTGAGTCTTCATTTCCCCATCTGTAAAATGGGAAGAATAACCCTTGTTTCCCAGTGGGGAAGGAGGGTCCCCTGAGGACATGGATGGGAAAGTGGGGCATACCGGGGGGTGCTGGGAAAAGTGAGCTCTTGGTGCAGGGGCACTAGGCAGGGACACGGCAAGGAGCGGGAGGCTGAGGTCAAAAGAACATCAGGGACTCATACACAAATCCTCTCTGAGTGTCCAAGTGGCTACTTGGGCCCTATCTGCACACCCCCAGGATCAGGAGTCCTCCTTCCAGCTGTTCCAGATCTGCTCTTTGGAATGTCCCCTTTGGGTCCTGGCTCTGCACCATGCTGGCCCCTTAGGCCCACCAGCCCCCTCACTCTAGCCAGCTCTGTGAGACTGGAAGACTGGTCTGGAGCCTAGAACTAAACAGCCCCCCCTTCTTCCTTTAGCTGCTCCTTGTGGGTGGGACCTGTGAGTCCCTTCCTAGACCTCAGTGTCCCCATCTGTGGCAGCAAGGATTGGGTCATATTTCATATATGGGAGTTTTGCAGCCAGAGAGAAAGAGAGAAAGGAAGGAATCCCTAGACTGGATGTCCCTGGGGGTGCTGCGCCCAGAGGAAGCCCCAGGGAGCAGAGAGGGCTGGGGCTACTCAGTCACACAGACCCTCTGTGCGACTTTGCACCAGCCTCTCTCCTTTTTGGGCCCCAGCTTCCCCATATGTAAAATGGGAAGGGGTTGGTCTAGCCGGTCTGTGAGATCCTCGGAGCCTTCAGGAGCCTCTGGAGCCGTACCAGATCAAGGAGAAGCAGAGGGCAGATGATGGGCTGGACAGGCACCGTGGGACTGGATGGCATCATGAAGATTAACTGCTGGCCAAACAGGAAGGGGCACGGCAGCTTTGTCCCAGGGGCCTGACCCATCCACCCACCTACCTGGCCACCCAGACACCACCCGGCTCAGGGCTGGGCTCATGAACAACAGCATCCCAGGACCAAGACTTGGTCAAACTGGAGGTACAGTGGCAGCATGGGGCTGTGCCTGGAGCACTGGACAGAGTCTCAGGGCAGTCCCTGGCTCAGGATGGTTCTAGGCCGTGGTGCTCCCTCGCCACTTTACAGATGAGAAAACCGAGGCTTACAAGTTCTCTTGGCTAGAGGGTAGGGACTCCCCAGGTCTGTCTGGTGCCCAAGAGCAGAATCATTGCGTCCAGGGAGTGAGAGGAGGGGACACATCAGTCCCACTCCTCTGTCTGGGTCGTGTTTGCCAGTGGCCCTTCTCACCTGGCCCGGTTTGGGGGAGCGGAGGGCATGGGAGCTGGAGCCCTTTGGGAGGCTGAGGGAGCCGGAGGGCAGGCAGCCTCTGGTTCGGAAGGCCCTCCCTGTGCTCCCCCTTCTGCGGGCTGTGGGGGTTGGCTGCTTTCCTCCCACCTGGGGGTCCCTCCTCCGCAAGAAAGGAGAGTGGGGGGCAGTGGGGGCGGGCGAGAGGCCGTGGTGCTACCCCACATCTGAAGATACCAGAAGCCCCCCTCTTGCCAGCTCGGTGCTGAGGAAACTGAGGCCTAGAGCAGAAAGTGACCTGCAGAGAAGGCGGCCTGGACCCCGGGGTTCCGGGCGTCCACGACAGTGCTCCGCCCCTGCCAGAGGATCTGGGGCGGGTTCGGGCCTCCCGGGCCGTCCCCCCGCGGCTCACCCAGGCGCAGACACATCTCGGCTCCCGAGCGGGGTCTCCGCGGCGGCTTCACCGGGGCTCCAGACGCTGCGGGCGGCCTCACTCCCATACTGGTCCGCAGCCGCCGAGCGCCCAGCAGAGCCCGCGCCGCGCCCACTTCCCGCCTCGAGCCTGGAGCGCCCGATCGGCCTCCCTTCCCGTCACCCCCTGGGCGGCCCGGCCCCGGGAGGGCCCCGGCGGCTCGTTTGCATCCCGGGCCGGTCCGACCGGCTGGGCAGCCCTTCCTGGCCCGCCCGGCTGAGTCACAGCGCTGGCCTCACCCACCGGCCTCGATGCCGGCCGGCACCCGGCCAGCAACCCCTCGCAGCCCACCCCGCTCCAGTGATGCCCATTTTACAGATAGAAACTGAGGCCTAGAGGAGCTGCGATCTTCCGGGCTAGGGAGTGAGACGGGGGCCTGATGCGTGGTTGTCACGACCTGGTGGGCAGCTGGACAGGAAAGCCCCGGGGTGAGGGCTGGGAATCCACTTCTTTCTAGAGAATGGGGAAGTGCAACAGTGGGTGGTGAAAGAACACTACCTAGGGAGCCAGGCTCCATCCTTGACCTGCGCCCGTGACCTCAGGTTTCCTCCCTGCCGTGGCCTGAGGGTCTTCGGCCGCACCTGAGCAAGGTGCTTTACTTGTGGGGGTGGGGATGGGGGGGTGTCTCTGTTCCCTTCTCAGAAAATCAGGGATAATAATTCCTGTCCCCTAAAGTCATGGTGAGATACAAAAATGAGGTAAGAAAATGCTTTGAAAACCCTCTAGAGTATCTTTGCAAAGTGCAGACTTAGCAGGAGCACATAACAAGACCTTTACTATTCCTGGCTATTGGTTACTGTGCCCCTTTAATGTGCCAGAATGACCCTTTGTTTCATCCTCAACATGTAGAAATGGACTCACACAAGTGTCCGGCGGAAGAGGTGGAGTAGGGGTCTCAGTGCCCTTTCTCTAATGTGGCCATGCTGTGGCTGCCAGCCTGGGCTCTTGGCCCTCAGGCAGGACTCTGGGAGGCACTTCCGTGGTATCTGGGCGGCATCAAATCACAGTCTGCACCCCCTACCCCACTGGTCAGTGGCCTTGAGGGTAGGGGCTGGCTTGATGCATCTAACACCAGCTGTCCACTGAATGTGTGTGCCTTGTGTGTGGGGCACACAACTTACTGATGACCAAGTCCACCTCCCAAGAGCTGCCCTGGAGAGCACGTGTGGTCACTGCAAAGCCGATGTCAAATCTCATGCATGTGCATGTGGCTTCTCTATCAGTGTCAGGCTGTCCCCTCGCCACTGACCCCAACTAGGGCAGTCTGGAATTAGGCTGGGGACCCAGACCTTTTAAATGTCTTTGCTTTCAGATGAATAAATGAGGGCTTTCTTTTTCTATCTTTGGAACAATACTGAGAGTTAAAGATTATTACCCCATTTTACAGATGAGAAAATGGAGGCCCAGAAAGGTTTACCTTTTCAAAGGGCACACAGCAGGTATCACTGGTAGAGCTGAGACTTGAATCCAGATCTGTTTAACTGTGAAGTCTGCTCCTGAGTGTGGTGGGGGACAGGGGAGCCATAGTCTCCAGGGAGTGGGCCTACTGTCTGAGGCCTCTGAGGAGGGAACGGCCCACCTGTTTCTCTTCTGACACAATATCCCGGCCATGGCCCAGCCTAAGTGCCCGGAAGTTATTGCCATTTCTCTTTGCTTATTGCCAAGTGACCAAAGTCCATTCGTCTGAGTTGTCCAGTGTCCCTTGCCTGCGCCTCACCCTTTTGCACACTGGCTAGGGTTCTGGGGTTCTGGAAAGAACCCCAGGCTACAGCACTAGCCCCCTGTGCTCCACCAACTCACTGTGACACCCTGGCAGCTCACAGCCCTTCCCCAGATCTCAGTTTCCCCATCTGTCAAATGGAGATAGTGATTGCCTTCCCAGATTTCTGAGCCATAAAAAGACTTGAGAGATGTGAGAGTTGGTTGAAACCTAGCCAGAGAAATACAAATAGAAATTCTCTCTCTTCCTGGAACACTTAACAACCAGGTGTGGTCCAGTACACTTAAATTGGACTCTGGGTCTTCCGAGGGTATGGCCTCCCCGCCGGGCTGCTCAGCTGGGAAGGGGGGTTCAGGCTTCCAGTCCTTGTGCAAGTCCTCTTCACCTGAGAAAGGCTTTTTCCTCCCTGATTACTAGAATACTTCCTCCCTCTAAGTAGAACAATCACACACGGACCCTACCATATTCAATTTTGTGTCTTTCCATACACATACATAAAACGAAAAGCCAAGTGATCATGCTGAGAGGAGGAGGTGGTTGAAGGGGACTTAGGCATATTTACAATGACAAATTCTACATGGTGTGAATGGGGAGTTTGTTATTCTTTGTATATTGTCTATCTTTTACATTTCTTTCTTTCTTAAGTATAGAGAAGAAATCAGAACTACTGATAATCCTCCCTATCCCCACAGATAATCAGCATTCACATTTCGGAGGGTGTTTTCCTATGTGCGTATGTAATTTTCTCCTCTGAGACTCTTGACTCCGGGCTTTACGCTGCCACCCCTTCTCATCACCTTGATCTGTTGCCCTCTCTGCCATCCCCTTCCATCTATCAAGGACTTGGGTTTCCAGATTTTGCTGAGGCAGTCATTCCAAATTGTCCTGCTCATCCATGTGAAGGACCCTCCAATACTCTTCCTTGACCTCCTCAGTGACCTTCATCATGACCCCAGCCATCCTGTCCGGGTTCATGCCTTGAATGGTCCCCTCTGAAATCCCACCCTTGAGCATCCCACAAAGCCTTCGTTTGCACCATGCTGGTCTTTTGACTCCCATGGCCTCATCCTCTGACTTCCCAGAGGCCACCAGCCCATTCTCCTTTCTTCTGTTCAGTTAACCGCCTCCTGACTCCTTTACCGCCAAGCCTACATCACAAGGTTGAGCATCTGAAAGCCAGCTCACTTGTCCAGGTGAGAAATGAGAAATGTAGGGGACTTGGACCAGGATGGTGGCTATGAAGATGGAAAGAAGAGGGGAGATTTATGTGATTAGTATGCATGTTAAATTTTGGAAAGCACTGTTCTAAATCCACTCACCTTGCTCTGTCTCCCAGTCACTCCTACAGCTCCACATGGACCACACTTCATTCCTCACCCTCTTCCTTTCTGCCAAGTCTTTCCCATCAGCCTATAAACATACCCAAGTCTCTTCTATCCTAAAAAAACACACCTTCCCTTGGCTCCCTTTACATTTCTACTTACTGCTTTTGTACTTCCTTTCCCTTCCCGTCCAAACTTCTGAAATGAATTATCTTTACATGCTATTTCCATCTTCTCAGCTACCACCCCCTCCACACTCCACAGCAGTGCGGTTC